ATGCTGGAAAGCAGATGGAAAACTTCACAGCATCCATCTCCTGCACAGCCTCGCCACTGGGATTAGCTACAAAGAGGCTGCCGGGGCGCAAGGGTAGCGATGGGATGCGGGTAGTGGCTCCCTGGCAGGGAGTGGGGCAAACCCCGAGCCAGCTGTGAGCGCAAGCGTGAGGGCACAGCACGAGCCCAGCCAGGAGCGAGCACCACGGCATCGCTGCCTGCTCCCCCAGAGCAAACGCAGGCAGCTTTTCCGTGCCCTGCTGACACAGCACCAACAGCAGCCAGGCAGCCTCAAGGAGCTGGGAATCAAGTAGGGTGCCTTTTTCCAGCCGTTCCCAACGGTCCTGCCCACGTGCAACCCGCTCCAGGAAGGACTGGCTGGATCCCCACACCTGCCAAGCGCAGGTATAGCACGTGTTATTTTCCATCCTCTCTAACTCTTCTCAACTGTGTCTTCCCTTTGTCCTCCAGCAGGAAGTTTTGGCTGCAACGGAAATACCTTTTTCTGCACGGCTTCACTATTTTTGTACAAAGAACACAGGCATCAGATCCAAGAGGTCTGGGAAACAGGCAGCAGAAAGAGAATCCCAAGGACAAGGTCAAGGCGAATTATGTAGGGCCAAGAACCGGCTCCTTCCTTTGGCTATTTAACAACTAAGAAACATCCAAGTTGTTCCCAGTTGGGCAGTATCTCTCAGCAAGCAAAAGCTGCTGAGCATTGCACAGAAAACCCTGCAACAGGCACCATGATGAATATGAAAAACTCAACTGGATATGCATTTGGTCAGCTTTGCCAAATATAATTTTAATGAACTTTTATCCCCTTGGGAATATCTCTGTGGTGGAAGAAGATGTGTGTCTCAAGGAGTATTTTGCATGTTAAGCTTCATGTAGCCGAGTGCTTTGTTTCCAGGCTGCTTTACTCATGCCCGCATGGTGTTGCCTATAAGAAATCAGTAGGACTGCCCCTCCCAGCAGGTATGCCTCCTTCAGACCCTTTGAATACCTGGTACATACAGGACAGAGAGGGAGACAAGGCGAGAGAGAGGGTATGAAATGCAACCCCAGTTAACCAAGGAATAGGAGCCCAAGTCTTTTAATTGCTTGTGGCCGATGCCTGTGTCTCCAGCATGTATTTTAAGGCAGAAGAAGAGGAGGTAGCTGCAGTAAGACTCCTTCCCACCTTGCCTGGGAGGTGAGGCTTGAGCAAACAGTGGCAGGAATCGAGACAGGGATAAATTGGCGGCATTTGCCCCATTTGCATCTGTCCCTGTCCTGTCTCCCGCCCTGCCACCCCCAGCATGTCGCGGCGCGAGGGTGGGTGAGGAGGAGCATCTACCAACAAGCCGTTCCCAGACACGCTCCCTTCTTCCACCGGATGAGCCCCCACCCCTGGCGGCCCCCCTTCCTGCCGAGGGCAGCCGGGCCAACAGCAGTGGCAGCTCTGCATTTCCTCCTCCCGAGGACCAGCTTTCAAATAGGATGGGCGGGGGGGGGAAGAGCAATCAAACGGAGTCAGGAACTGCTGCTGGTGGAAACACGGTTTTCTGGATCTCTTCTCAGAGTTTCTGGATTTTCTCAGACACGATCCTGATAGCCCAGCGAGCGCATGCAGGCACCTCAGAGTCCATCTGCCAGGAGCAGGAAGCCCAAGTCCCCTGTCCCCCAAGGACTTCTTTCTATGCAAAAGCTGTCACAAGAGCAATCAAACGGAGTCAGGAACTGCTGCTGGTGGAAACACGGTTTTCTGGATCTCTTCTCAGAGTTTCTGGATTTTCTCAGACACGATCCTGATAGCCCAGCGAGCGCATGCAGGCACCTCAGAGTCCATCTGCCAGGAGCAGGAAGCCCAAGTCCCCTGTCCCCCAAGGACTTCTTTCTATGCAAAAGCTGTCACACAAATGACTGATGCAGGCAGGATCCTGCCTGTTTGTGGTCTCCCTGTGCAGGATCCCACCCTAGACAGCGCCTTAAGGAGATCACGTCCGTTTGTGGTGGGAAATGGCAAAGGCCAGAACTTCCACTCTTTGGCTGCCCCAGCATTTAGGTTCTTGTAGAAACCCAGGAAAGTGCTGTCTCCTATCTGGAAAGAGGCTCTACCCTGTGGGGCTGATGGGATGGATATCCTCTCCTGCGATTGTTTCAAAATCAGTGTGGAGATTACAACTCCCCTCCCCACCCAACAGTCCTAACTGCCAGGAGGCCCTGAGGGCTGCAGAAATACTTCCAGATGTCTACCACATGTGCGGGCTGAGTCCCTGCCCCAGCTGCAAGTTGGCCTCAAGCTGCGCCAGGGGAAATTTAGGTTGGATATTGGGAAAAACTTCTTCACTGAAAGGGTAGTCAGGCACTGGAACAGGCTGCCCAGGGAAGTGGTTGAGTCTCCATCCCTGGAGGTATTTTAAAGAAGGGTAGACGTGGGGCTTGAGGACATGGTTTAGTGGTGGACTTGGCAGTGCTAGGTTAATGGTTAGACCTGATGATCTTAAGGGTCTTTTCCAACCTTAATGATTCTATGATTCTAAGTTACAGAGCGATGCGTATCACCAGAAGAAGGTCCACAGCACGATGAAGGTTCACGCAGCCGAGGGAAGTCTCAGAAGAGTCAGTTGCGACACCACTGCTGAGCAGCCCGCGTCCCTCCTGCTCCCTTCCCCGAGATGCTGGGTCGGAGCTCTCCCAGCAGCAGGACCCAAAAGAAGAGCGGCTCCCCAGAGTGACACGGGAGGCGACGTTTTGCCAGTGGCTTGGCATCACATGCTCCAGCAAAGTTCTTAAACAACAGGTAACAGCCTGCAAAGGTGCCTCACCGCACATCTGCACACCCGAAGGGACCTCCTCTGAGGAAGGGATGTGGTTCGCGCACGGAGTGGCTGTCCCACACTGTGGCCCTCTTCAGAGAAGCCGCCACTGTGATGACCAGAGGACAGAGAAAGTCTCGAGGGAGCTGCTTGAGGCTGGCGGGTCGGCGGCCTCCCACCATCCTGCCTAGTGGCTCGTGTTTGCATTGACCTCACCAAACTCTGTCTCCACAGCCTGGGTCAAAGCCCCAGCAGGCCAAGCCAGTAGCCGGTCTGGCGTGGACACAGGGCAAGTGCAGCCAAGGGCTGGGCACTAGCTTACTACATGAGCATCAATACCTGCTTTGCCATGAACTCCTGGGTGACTTTGGGCAGAGGTCCTTTCCAACCTTAACCATTCTATGATTCTATGGTAAGTGAGAACGCAGCCCTCTGCTCAAGGACACACCTGAAGCGTGACCTCAGACATCTTTCAAACGCATCTGCTCGCTCGGTCTGGGCTGGTAGGGCCAAGAAGCAGCACGCATTTTTAGGACTGCTGTGACCATCTCCTGAGTCTGCTGGGCAGGAAAGGCTCTTTCCAAATGCTAGACGGCTCATGCCGCATTGGCCTGAGAGCTGAAGCTTCTTCCCTCCAGGATTTAACACTCTCTACCACAATGTTTCTGGCTAATACATAATCCTGATGTTTTACACAAGGTTTGTGAAAACCCATGCAGGGCATTTAATGGGCAACATCAAAGTGCATGACCCAATCCTTACCCAGCCTTTCACGCTCTCCTTGGGAGTTTCAGAAACATTGTTTTGCAAGACATACTTGGCCTCGGTTATGGGAAGAAAAGAGAAGGAGGAGGTGGAGGTTGTGACCCTACACATACTGTGTTTATGAAAATACTCCTCCACCAAAACGGCACTGGCGCTGCAATATTGTCCTTGAGACGTTCAGCAAATGGCTTGTGTGCTATGTCCCACGCCTCCCTCCCCCCCAGCAGAACCCACTCTCCTAACTGCTCGCCTCCAGCGAGGTCAGAAGCCAGGATTTCTCATAGAGGCTCCGCAGCCCAGCAATTTTTTCCTTCAGCACCATCCCCAAGCAAAAGCTTGGGAAGAATCGAGCTCCTGGTTGGAAATGCTGCAAGTGCAAACTGTTATGTGCAGCTCACAGGAAAGTCACTGCTTTTTTTTCATTTTGAACCAAAGCAAGCCAGTGAATGTTGGCTCTGAATTTCTGTGGCTTTCACATCCATTTAATCATTTCCTTTTCCCACTGTTTGCAACCTTCCTCTGCCGAACCCTCCCCTGGATGGCTCAACCCTTTTGTCCCATGTCACGGCATCCCAAATTGCAAGCTGCAGGCAACGTATTAAAAACGGGGCAGCGTAGTTCCAGCACAGCTGGGAGCCAAGAGAGAGTGGCTAAGTTTCTCTGCACTTCTGGGGCCGGTCCAAAGTCTTACTCCAAGTTTAGGCAGCATCACCCGGCTGGGACTCTCAAGTCCATTTAAGGTGGTTTGGAAATCATCTTGACTTCAGGAACACGCATCCCGATGGGGTAAAACCGTACGAGGAGCACTTGGGACCGGCTTTTTCACCGTGGAGTCGGACAGCGCGGCCGGCCGCCCCCCCTC